GGTCCTACAGTACAAGAGGACTTATTTTCAATAATCATTCGATCAAGGATACGAAAACTGTCTTTCATTTCCACCAAAAAAAAACGAAATGACTTTCCGAACAACCGTATATAAAAATAGACTCAACCTGGTACTTACTACAAAAACTTTAGCATATTTTGTGGTAATTATATTTACTCCGTTAGCGCAGTCTCCCTTCTCCAAATAGTTTCTAGTAAGAGTTAGTAAAACAGGTTAAACCTTATTAAGTGTTGAATAAGTTGAAATCCACAACGTATTTTGTCTCAATATTAATTTGAAATCATTTTTCGATTTTTTATCCACTAAAATCTTCGTCAGATTAATGAGGAAAATATTTTTGTTGCTGTTGTCACACCCCCGCCGGGAATCGAACCCTAAAGCATAATGGTCAGAGCATTGGTGCGTAAAGTCAAAGGTCCCGGGTTCGATTCCCGGCGGGGGTGTGACAACAGCAACAAAAATATTTTCCTCATTAATCTGACGAAGATTTTAGTGGATAAAAAATCGAAAAATGATTTCAAATTAATATTGCATATTAACCACTATTAGTAACTAACAATGTCATAGGTTTTCATGTATTTTGTCCCATAAAAATTGAAATCGCGTTATGTAATAGGTAAACAAACACCGTTACACAACATCAAACAAACAAAAAAATCACAAACAAGGCAATAAGAAAAAAACAGATTATGCACTTCTTTTATTTTAAACCGGTTAAAATGTTAACATATTGACAAAGAAGAAAGATGAAATCACTGTAATCCTAAATCGACAATGGTTTATTATTCATCGACATACAATTGAATGTTGAAATTTAATTCCCTGTTCCAAGCAGATCTTAGCGATATTTCGACATAAGTACTTCCGATACCTCCGTTTGTTATTGAGGCGTATCCTCCAGTACCAGCTCTATCAGTCACCTTTAAAAATTAGAGTAATTATTTATTGTAATAGAATAAATTACAAAACAAGCACTTGTGACTCCCACTAGACGGTATTGTAATATGCTAGTGGTCGCCAAACATAAACTTTATAATTAGTATCAAGTATACAACAAGTATATATATTTACCACAATGCACGTTATGGCTTGGCTGCCGATACCTTCAGAAGGATAAGTAACAGTTTTCCTGGCGTATGAAAGGAAGCGTCTTGGTTCAGTAACAGTTTTGGTGTAAACGATCGATTTCCTGAAATAAGATACTAAAATAATCGAAAGTACGAGGGTGGATTGATAAGTTTCCGGCCTGACCAAGAAAAACAAGGTTTTTAAAAATTTTTTTTTTTTATTTCTCAACATAATCTCCTCCAAGGCTGATACATTTCTCATAGCGGTGTTCCAGTCTATTAATGCCATCTCTATAGACTGATTCGTCAAGCTCCTCAAAATAACCATTTACAGCTTCGATTACTTCTTC